TGCTGCCAGCACACTCCCTGACCCTCCCAGCTGCCGCTGTCCTTACAAGTGACCAGTTTTTCAGCTAAATTATTTTGCAACAGAATACTTAGGTTGACCTGTCACTCCTCATAATCCCAGACCCCTCCCACAGTAAGGTTCAAATTGTCACATTGAGGAAAAAAAAAATAGTAGAAATGATGGGTGGGTTCTTAAACTTGATGTCATTTCACATGTAGTCTGCATCAAATCTGGCAGACCAAATAATTCAAACATTAAAAGTTGATTTTATGATCTGTGTACTTTATGAATTGATTTATCTTTTGCCTTTTAAATTTAAGTTGTTTTTTAAAAATATATATTTTTATTGATTTCAGAGAGGAAGAGAGAGGGAGAGAGAGAGAGAGAAACATCAATGATGAGAGAGAATCACTGACTGGCTGCCACCTGCATACCCCACACTGGGGATCAAGCCCACAACCTGGAGATGTGCCCTGACCAGGAATCGAACCATGACCTCCTGTTTCATAGGTGGCTGCTCAACCACTGCCAGCTGGGTTATAAGTATCTTTTGTTTTTTAGATATAATTCACATGCCATACAATTTGTCCATTTAAAGTGTACAATTTGGTGGCTTTTAGTATCTTCACAGAGTTGTACAATCATTAGCACAGCCAATTTGGCATCATTTTCATCACCCCGGAGAGAAATCCCATATCCATGAACAGTCACTCCCACTCCTCTCTTCCCCTCGCTCCTGGCATACGTCAGCCTACTTTCTATTGCTATGGATTTTCGTTTCTGGACATTTCAGGTAAATGAAATCCTGTGATATGTGGATTTGTGAGTGTAGGCGTGTGTGACTAGCTTCCTTCAATGAGCATGTTTTCAAGGTTCAGCCTTTAAAAACAATCTTTTGAATCTGTTAGGTGATACCTTTGTTTCATACCATGTTTATTTGTCTTTATTCTTCGAAGATAGGACCCATTGATTTATTAGCGTGCTTGAATTCTCCCTAAGTCATAATGTGGTCCCGCTGTATCAGTTGTCTGAGTGCTATAAACTGATTAGGCACCTCAGGTTCTGATACTTATCTCTTTTTCATTAATTTATTTTTTTTTACAGAGAGGAAGGGAGAGGGATAGAGAGTTAGAAACATCGATCAGCTGCCTCCTGCACACTCCCCACTGGGTATGTGCCCACAACCAAGGTACATGCCCTTGACCAGAATCGAACCTGGGACCCTTGAGCCCTCAGGCCAACGCTTTATCCACTGAGCCAAACTGGTTAGTCTTTTTCATTTAAATGGGCAGTTTTATGAATCAAAGGCTGACAAATTTTTATTTTGGAAAACTGGGAGTACAAAATTGGGAGTTTGGTCATTTAAAAAATTTCTTCCATGTCTAAAATTACTTATGTTTGAGAGAGAGAGACATCAGTTTGTTGTTCCATGTATTTATGCATTCGTTGGTTGATTTTTGTATGTTCCCTAACTGGGATTGAACCTGCAACCTCGGGGAAAACGCTCTAACCAACTGAGGTACCTGGCCAGGACAAATTAAATCTAAAAGAAGCATGAAAGTTACTTAGAGATAAGGAATGAGGAAGATTCCAGACATACAGACGAACACAAACAAGACATGGAAGCATTAAGTAACTCGCCAAGCAAATTTTCTGAAACATACTTTTACTGGGTTAATCCAGAGCACAAATGTGGTCAGACATCCCTGTGGTCAGGAGGGTGATAGACTGGGGTCCGCTCCCACTGGCTCTCGGAGCCAGGTATGCACATGTCGTCCTAACAGCCTTCGGAGACTTCGCCTTTGTAGCTTGAAATTAGCCATGTGGGAATATTTGTCAAACCCTACATATTTGAATTTTTAAATTTTTTTTAATGGATTTCAGAAAGGAAGGGAGAGGGAGGGTGAGAGAAACATCAATGATGAGAGAGTATCATTGATCGGCTGCCTCCGGCACACCGCTCACTGGGGACCTAGCCTGCAACCCGGCATGTGCCTGACTGGGAATCAAACCGGGACCTCCTGGTTCATAGGTCAGCACTCAACCACCGAGCCACGCTGGCCGGGCTTGAATTTGTTTCTGTAGCTGTTGACCAGCACACCTCTGGATGAAGCGATTGTTTTCACCGATCTGGTCCTGCCCCACCTCCCAGGCTGGGGTCGGGTCAGGTGCTAGTTACACCTCATTGGCTCCGCTCACCTGGTCCGTTCACTTCCCCGTCTGCTCTCTCCTCCCCGGAAGGCTGACCCCAGCCGGGCTCTGTGCGGTTGGCTTCCACGTAGGTCTAGTCACTGGGTGGCACTGGCAGGAGGTTGGAGGGCAGGAGGGGAAAGACACCAGGGTGTTCCTGCCCTGCTCGCTCCTTGCCGTGGTGCCCTGGCCTGTGTGGCCGAGGCCCGCCATGGCTGCAGCCCCTAGTAGGCGGCCGTAACGCCACCTCTCCCCGGCTCTGGTAACAGCGTTGTCTTCCTTTGTTCCCTCAGGCTTGGGTGGCCAAGGGCTGTGCCTTTGTCGGCTTCCTGGACTCTTTGAAAAGTCCCTTTGAAAAGTGGCCCATATGCTTTTCAAAATCTCAGCGTTTATGCCTCTGTGTCCTGCCTGGGCCCTGTCCGCCCGAGGCGTCTTCCCCAGGGGCTACATGGGGAAGGGTGGGGATCCAGAGCAAGTCTGTGTGTTGTTAGGAAAGGAGAGGAGGGGAAAGGATCGAACTCGCAACCAAGTTCATTCCATTCCACTTGAGGTGCTGCGGGGTGGTATTCAGGGGTATGCCCAGCCATACGTGGGCACCCAG